TCCGTAGTTTCTACTTTTTTTTTTAAATGTTTTATTTGTTTTTGAGAGAGAGAGAGAGAGAGAGAGAGAGAGAACGTGCATGCACATGTGCGTGCACGAGCAGGGGAGGAGCAGAGAGGGAGACACAGAATCTGAAGCAGGCTCCAGGCTCTGAGCTGTCAGCAGAAAGCCCGATGTGGGGCTCACACATATAGTTTCTACTTTTAATGTTTTTTGAAGTACGTTGAAAACTTACGTATTTGTGAAACAAACCAAGAGGAAAATCCTAGCTATATATGATTTATTGTTTTTTGATTTTTGGGACTTTGGGTTTTTTGGACGGGATAAAGAAGAATAATAGCTTTATTGCTTTGCTGGGTAAGAGAGGCTGCAGCAGGCTAAGGCCTTCAAAACTGCAAGCCCACCCAGAGGATTCATTTTTCAGTCTTTTCCAGATGTCTCTCCTGTACCTAATTCAACAGCAATATTTTTAGGGACTTATTTTTATTGAATCTTTCTAAAGCATTTCACTGAGTTTAAAAAGATACCACAAGCATTTATTTGTATAACCACATTCATCAGTTTCTGTGGTAGGGGCGCCGGGGTGGTTCAGTTGGTTAAGCATTGGACTTTTGCTCAGGTCATGATCTCGTGATCCGTGAGTTCAAGCCCCGCAGTGGGCTCTGTGCTGAAAGCTCAGAGTCTGGAGCCTGCTTCAGATTCTGTGTCTCCCTCTCTCTCGGCCCATCCCCCACTCACCTCTGTCTCTCTCTCTCTTAAAATAATAAAAAAACATTAAAAAAATTTTCTGTGATATTTAAATCTCATAAGTATGGTAGTAATTGCAAATGTCATAAACCACTTTGGGAGCAACCACAAGTGACTCTAAACAGCTAGTAAACGGCTTTCCACCAGCTATGAGTGCTCATTGTGCTTCAGGTAATAATTTGCAGAGAAACAGCATTGCTTCATCCATTGAGTTCATTAGTGGAGATTAGTTGAGTGAGAGATTCTACTTAGATATTTGTGTCTGATTGCCTTCCTAGCCTGAAAAATTCAAAGTCATCTTAATCTTGCTTCAATTTAGGTCAGTAAGTAAGTCACCATGTACTTATCTTGTTTTTAAAGATTTATAGGGGCTTCTGGGTGGCTCAGTAGGTTAAGCATCTGATTCTTGATTTTGGCTCAGGTCATGATCTCATGGTTCGTGAGTTTGAGTCCCACATGGGGCTCTGTACTGACAGTGTAGAGCCTGCTTGGGATTCTCTCACTCTCTCTCTGCCCCTACCTCATTCTCTCTCTCTCTCAAAATAAATAAATAAGCTTAAAAAAAAAAAGATTTATACAAGAGAAGATGTCTTGCTACGGAAACTTGCTTACAGTTCTTGCTTCAGTGATTTTCCTGACAGTGACTGGCTCCATCTTCTGCTTGAGAACTGTTAAGTCGGTCACCTTTTGCACTAGCCATCTGTTTTGGGTGTACTCTGTCCCTGTATTTTAGTTTTTTCTCTTCATTTCCTCAATCTTCCTTTCTCTTCATTTCTCTACAGTTATCCTCTTTGGTCTTTTCTTTTTTTCTTTTTCCTTTCCTTTCCTCCTCCTT